CCGTTACGGCGTTAGTGAAGTCATTAATCATCACAGCTGACCTGAGTTATGTAACGTCCTTTGTCTGTAAAGCAATCTGTACTGAACGCATGATGTAATATAGTCAGCTGCATTATCTCTTCGACGATCCTTCGACGGATTATAAGCAGGAATCAAAGTGAGATTATTTAGTCAAGGCGAGACCGGACAGAGGCTATGTAAATTAGTTGGGAGTTGGCACCCAAGGGTGTCAAGCCAAGCTAGGACCATGGATCCCTCAACCCAAGCTAAATCCGATGTCTTAAGTTTTGTACATATGTTTGAAGAACAATAAAAGTATCATATGAAGTTAAACCAGTGTTGTCATCAAGAACCTGGCATAAAGACCTAAAAGTGTAACATATCAATTGGCGGCGTGTACCAGAGCAACGTTTGAAGTCCTAACCACTAGAAGGTCTAAGCATTATATTAAAAGGAGGTGAGTCTTTTTCTAAATCCTAACCATAACCACGGTAAATCCTGACAAAAGGGCTATGTTTAACAAATTAACTGAGGAGGTCAGCAGTTTATCATCAACGCTTAAATATCATGGTGTAGTTACTCAAATTTCTCAACCATTTCCTAGAAACCCTGAAATTGGGGGGTTTTTTTTACTAATTGAATCAAATTTATTAAGAAATGGGATCTTTCAACTGCTGTCCCTAACTCAAAAATTATATATGTTACGTATAAGGCTTGTAGTGGAACAGTACGTAACTATTTGTAGAGACGTGACTAAAAAGAAAAAAGAATTATCTGTACGTTTCGTTTTCGGATACATCGTGTTGTTTTTAAAAAGATTATAAATTAGAATTGTTTGTTTTTGGACACAAATTTTGGCTTTTAAAATTAGTGTTAACCAAGTATTAACAGGTTTATAAGGCGAAGTAAAATGTTTTGTGATTGTTTAACCGGAATTGGGTTAACAGTATCGTAATTTGGAAATTAACTCATAAACATTCACAAAGTATTAAAAGGTTTATCTCTTGTATTTTTTGTGCGTTTCGACTAAATATATTTTTGCCCCGATTGTTAAGGGGTGGCCCGATATTTACCGGAGTGATTTTATATTGTGTTTTGATGTAGTCATCTACTCAACTCCCACCGACCACTAAGGTCACTAAACAACATCGTGTTCTAACTAACATTGACTCATTTAGGGACACTATACGTAATTCGATGGCAGTCAATAGGTCATCTGATGATGTCAATGATCTCGCGACCCTGTACAATACATCTTTAAGATCTGCTCTAGACAAGCATGCACCGTGTAGGACGAAGGTTTTGGTTGATAAGCCACGTTCTGACTGGTTTAATAATGAACTCATTGAGGGACGTCAGGAATTGAGACGCACGGAACGCCAGTGGCTTCGCTCAAAACTTGAGATTCACCGTCAGAAAATTAATTGACACACGATCCGCTTACTCGCGACAACTGAATGACGTCAAATCTTGCTTCCATCGAACGAGAATCGGGGAAGCGAGCACTAAGGAATTGTTTGCAATTGTGGACAATTTATCTGGAAACAAGAGAGCTCTAGCATCGGTCTTGCCTGACCAAGGCCATTCAACTCTACCGGACATATTTGCAGATATTTTCTCCCAGAAGATTGAGGTCATTCGATCGGACCTAATGACCCCGAGTGAGGTAATGTCTCAGTATGAGGACAGTGCATTGAGCGTAAACGTGACTCAATCAGGATCAGCTGGTAGTGTTTATGAACGTGACGCCAGACTGGAATCCTTTGGTTTGCTAAACATTGATGGTGTTCGTAAGATAGTCTGTGCCATGCCTGATAAATCATGTTCGCTTGATCCCATGCCAACTAATCTTGTCAAATCATGTATTGATGTACTAGCTCCACATCTTCTTAGTATCGTAAATTCTTCGTTTTCTACTGGTGTATTTCCAGATATCTATAAACAAGCAGTCATTCGTCCCCTCCTCAAAAAAGCTGGACTTGATAAGGAGGTCATGAAAAATTACCGCCCACTTTCCAATTGCCCATTTTTAGACAAGTTCTTGGAGAAAGCTGCTCCCAGTCAACTTCACCTGTATCTTCAGTCAAATTCGTTGTATGGCAAGTTCCAGTCTGCCTACCGAGGGGGCCACAGTACGGAAACTGCACTCCTCAGAGTGCAAAATGACGTCATGTTCGCTCTCAATGGGCAGCGGGACCTCATTCTTGTATTGCTTGACCTGTCTGCGGCCTTCGACACCATCGATCATGAGATACTTCTGAGACGTCTGCGCTTGAGGTTCGGGTTGGGGATCCAGTACTGGATTGGCTGGGGTCACACTTGCATGGCAGAACTCATGCAGAAAGTGTCGATCGGATCGATTGTGTCGAAGGAGCATCCATTACGTTATGGTGTACCCCAGGGCTCGGTACTCGGACCAGTCCTTTTTGCTCTGTACATGGTTCCACTTGAGGACATCGTCACTCGCCACGGCTTAGACACGGTAATTTTCGCAGATGATACTCAGCTCTACATCGCGTGCGACGCTAAGACTGACTATTCCGTGGCCTGCCGAATCGAAGCCTGCGTTGATGAGATCAGAGGGTGGATGAGAGAAAATCTTCTCGCACTCAATGATTCGAAAACCGAAATTGTGTGGTTTTCTTCTCGCTTCAAGAAAGCTGAAGCCCTGCCTACCTCAACGGAGGTCAGGATTGGTGATGTCAGTGATGATGGACTCGAGTGGAACCATGGAGGCGCATATCGCTAAGGTATGTAGAACGGCGTCGTACAGTTTACTGTAACAGTTTGTTTTACGGCCTGTATGATTACCAAATAAAAAAACTGCAACACATACAAAATTCTGCCGCTAGACTGGTAATCAGACGAAAATTAGAACGTCATATTGACATGACAACAATTCTACGTGAACTTCACTGGCTACCAGTGAAAGCGCGCGTAGAATTCAAAAATCTATGCATCCTATTCAAACTGATCCATCATGGTGGGTCGGCACCGTTCTACCTGACTGAACTGAGTGAAATTCATGTCCCTAAAATCCGCACTAAAAGTTGCGAAAGTGGAAACTGGTGAATCACAATATGCGACCAAAACCGCCACGAGCATACGGTGACCGCGCTTTTTGCATCTATGCACCACATCTGTGGAATAGCCTGCCAGCCTCTCTCCGTGATATAGATTTGTTCGCCTCCTTCAAAACCGCACTGAAAACACACGTTTTTAGAAAATTTTATTGTTGAGGCCGCAAGATTATGAAATATGCCATACATTGTAAATATGCAACTAGAAATTATATAACATACTCGAGAGTTTTATAGTATTAGGTTAAGATGTCTAGTTATTGTTGATATTTCTTTTAATTACTTGTAATGTTATTTTTAGAATGATTTTATGTACTGTCTATCATTGAATTATACACTAGGTAATTACTATATTGATGTAAAGCGGTTTGAGATGCTTTTATGTAAATCGCTATATTAAAAATAAATCATTATCATTATAGTACCCCAAATATTATGGATGCCCCGAAATTTCGGGAGAAATTTTATTTGTTTTTATCAAGAGGAATTGAGTGGTTATATACCCTCCGCTCAGATTAGGAGCGACTGTGATGTTTTGTTTTGTGTTTTGTTTAAGAATTAGAGAGATAAACCGTTATTAATTTTGATAAGTCTTTTGAAAAATATCTTATTTAAGATTGGTGAAATGTGTTCAGATCATTCATTGTTTGTTTTTTTTTGAGGTAAAACAATATGACATCCTATGTTCAATTTGGTTTATGTAAATCCTAATGTAAATATTCTAAAATAGATCGTTAATCGTTATCTAAAGTCTGTTCCACTTTGATTAACTATTTGTTGAGTTCACCCCATAATATAATAAGCAGATGATAAAACTTGGACACGGATGGCAGTGATAATATTTTCCATAGCACATGTCATAAAAAACCTGTTTGGCCAGACGGTAAGACTACCCGACAAAAATAATAGCTGCCAATCTTAAAGAAGAGAAGGACGGAAAATATGAAGGAAGAAATACTTTGTACCCTCCCTGCAATTGACCAAAACGTGGATGTGAATAAAAGAAGACGTCTTCAAACGCGTGTATCATGGCCAGTAGAAGAACTTATGTTATATGTAATTTTATTAACTCGCGTGTGTGAACATTGGAATATTTTGTGTTATTTATGTGATTTCAATAACTCGCGAGGTGAAAAAAAGAGAAAAGGATTTTGTATTCTATGTGATTCTAATAACTCACTTAACACCTTCCATACATGAAATCGATTTATGACCCACAGATGGCCGACATTAGCCCTGGCTTGATACAACCAACGGCCATGCGGAAGGGATTATAAGCAGGAATCAAACTGAAATTATTCTGTCAAGGCGAGAGCCTCTGAGTTAAGACCCGACAGAAGCCATGTAAATTAGTTAGGAGTTGGCACTCAAGGGTGTCAAGCCAAGCTAGGACCTTGATCCCTCAACACAAGCTAATTACGGAGTCTTGAGTTTTGTACATGATATGTTTGGAGACCAATAAATGTAGCACATGAAGTTAAACCAGTGTTGTCATCAAGAACCTGACATAAAGACCTAAAAGTGTAACAAAACCCACTGCAGTACAATGTATAACACAGGCTTTTCAGCGGTAACCATTCTGAATATATGTTAGATCTTACGAATTGTGGACACCGGACCGACGGACGGGAGCGACTACAATAGACGACAACATGGGCGTATAAACATTAGTGTACTATTTTGTAATGTGGGTCTAATCCGTTTTACATCTCCCATATACATAGAAACTAAATAAACTTTTTCATTTTTTTTCTTAAATGGAAGCAGAATAAATACTTCTCCAAATTATCGACTAATATCCTTGATTTCGGAATTAAAATGTCGGTCAATTAGCCCCGTGCCTGTTCTCAACGTTGAGATGCCATGGATATCAAACTAACATACGTAAAGGTGTTGTTTTCGGTTATCTTAAAATATAAGAACGATCCAATATAGTAATTTATTGTCTATACCATTCAATTATTTAAATTCAAGCATTATTAGCAATATACAATGTATATATAGGGTGGTGTAGCTTAAAATAATAATAGTGTGCATTTAAACTCGCTTGTGAAAGGTACAAGTTACTGATGTCGAATGAATTAAATATAATACTAATAAGTCTCTATTCTATAACTAGCAACAAGCATTAAACAATAATATAATAATGTATATATCGTACTTTTTAGTCACCAATAGTTTGAATAATCTTAATAATCAATTTCTTTAATAAACAAGTAATTTATCAAATGTATATTACTTGTCGGCTTATTAAATACGCTGCGAAGTCTTCGTTAGTAATTAACCAAGTAATAAATCATATAAATTTGTAATTGTACTCCTCTGTTTATTTAAGCGTGAACCATTTTTACTTATACTTGAAATAAATTTAAATAAACAAGTATTTCGTCGATAAACGTACATTTCCATTTAGTATTTAATGCTTACGTAGATTTAGAATTATCTATTAAAGTAACACTCGGTTCTACTAATCGTACTTTTCCGATATAATAGGAAATAATTCCAAATCACAAGTTCAAAAAAAATTAAATATAAACTTCAAACAAGGTTTTTACATTCAAATCATAAAGTAGAGAGCTTATCATTGAGAGATACAATATTGTCCTTTCTAGTAATTTATTAAATAAACATTAGTGTAAGATTTGGATAAGAGCTGACCATACCTGCTATAATTTGATAAGATTTCATCTTCCAAAAGCGTGAGGTTCATTTATGCTTTTTAATGGATTATTCCCTCGCCGTTTCTAATAATAAACATGTATACATCTTAATAATATTGGACTATGTAATCCATAAAATATATATTCTTAAAATACAGAAGATTTAAATATCTAAATAAAATATTTGTGCATATGCTCTCCAATATTCACTCTGCAATACCTATAAAGCTAGGCTATAACGTAACACGTGTATTACATATATCTTAATGTGGCAATAAAGTCAAAGTTTCAGCTGCACAACGTTTTATTTTTTTAATCTCATTCTCTTTGGGTCCAGTATTTGAGAAAGGGTTTGCTGGGTCCAAAATACAGGTTACACTCATTGGAAATAAGTTCATCCTGTAATAGATCACAAACAACATAAACAAAGCATTGTCTGTAAACCAAGGTTGTTCACAAAACACATAATCAAATATATTACAAGAGCAATATAATATTCAGAACTAAAGACGTACATGTATAATTCTTGACATTTCATGCGTTAAAAGTGCAAAGTTGATCAATTTAATGTTGATTTTACGGTTATTCAGTGTAAAATGCGTAAAAATAAATTTTGAACAATATTTAACATACACAATTGATTTTGCACTTTGAATAATAATAGACTGTTGGGTCACGGAATCATCAAAAAACTTATAAACTGCATGTGGTATTCATGCAAAAACTTTCACAAACGGGATCAATAACAAAATTACAGCATCTTAATACCGATAGTGACGAAAGAACGTTGTTTTAAATCTTACCATTCGGTTTCATTAGGGTCGTAATAGTGCGAAACAGTCAGTCGTTTAATTTTGAATTCACTCAAAATCTCAAGTGCAAACCGGAATCCATCAATCATCTTAAAATCTGTTTTTTTGTTCAGTCTTTCACAATATACATACACACCGATTACCTCACAACAATAGGAGGACAGCGTCCAATCCTTGCCCTGACATATCAAAATGGAGAAAACAAAAAAAAATATACTATTAACTTACTACTGATTTGCCAATATATCTTATGAAATGTTACAAAATTCAAAAGGCACAATAAACATCCTTTATTAGATAAAGATATGTTGCCAGGCAAAGAAACATACGCCCACGGCAGCTAAATCGTCCGGCCAGTCAACAAGAGTTAATGAAACATTTATAATACATTAAAATCTGATTAAGAGTTACAAATCATTAAGTAATTATCAGAAAACCATTAGAATTTGTTTAGGTTTTATAAAGTTCTGTCCCATGCTAACGTTAATATACGAAACATTTAATATCATGGATTTAGCTGTTACTTGTTCGTCTCAAGACCTTAAACTCTGTGTATTAATCTGAAGTCAATCGGATGATAACTTTAGCCTCTAGAGCGTCCACAATAGTTTTCAAGGTGATCAAGGGCCATAACTTTGGCATTAATTATCGAAAATCGCTGAAAATCAACAGGATTCTACGTTTCATGACCTCAAACACTGTGCATACATTTAAAGTCAATGGGATATTAACTTTAGCCTCTAGAGCATTTACAAGTTTTTTGAAGTGATCAAGGGCCTTAACTCTGACAGTAATTATCTAAAATCGCTGAAAATGAATAGACTTCTACGTCTTATGACTTTAAACACTGTGTTTAAATTTAAAGTCAATCGGATATTAACTTTAGCCTCTAGAGCGTCCACAAGATTTTTCAAAGTGATCAAGGGCCATAACTCTGGCAGTAATTATCGGAAATTGCTGACAATCAATAGGCTTCTTTGTCTCATGACCTTAAACACTGTGTATAAATTCAAAGTCAATCGGATATTAACTTTGACCTCTAGAGCGTCCACAAGATTTTTTGAAGTGATCAAGGACTATAACTCTGGCAGTAATAATCGGAAATCGCTGAAAATCAATAGGCTTCTTTATCTCATGACTTTAAACACTGTGTATAAATTTAAAGTCAATCGGATATTAACTTTAGCCTCTAGAGCGTCCACAAGATTTTTTTAAGTGTTCACGGGCCATAACTCTGGCAGTAATTATTGAAAATCGCTGAAAATGAATAGACGTCTACGTCTTATGACTTTAAACACTGTGCTTTAGATCTTCCCATATCACAATTTCTTTTACCTTTCACAGATTTTAAATCTTCTATTAACTTTTTTATTTATGACCGCTGGCAACGGTCTTGGGATCTTGCTGGCACAAATAAACTTCATCACATTAAGCCTCTCTTAGGAGACTGGCCAAGCTCCTATAGAACCAACAGGAGGGATGAAGTTGTTTTGGTCATTCTTTTTTAACTCATATTTTCATTTTAAAGCGAGAGCCTCAACCAGAATGTGAACACTGTCATGTTCCTTTGACAGTTAAGCACATTTTGATTGAGTGCAAGCATCTCAAAGATATAAGATCGCAATTTTACCGTTGTCAGTCACTACATCACATGTTTGCCCAACCGGGTTTATATGGTAAAGTGTTAGACTTTTTAAAGGAGACAGGTTTTTATAATAAATTTTAATTGTATATATATATATATATCATGTCATTTTTGTATTTAATATTTATATGCATAAAAGTTGTATTTTATTTTTAATTTTATTAACTGTGATATTGTTTTTATTTATGCATATAATGGTTCTCTGTGATATAATTTAGCCTGTCTCGTAATTTTCACCATATGTTTGGCGCAATATAGCCCGGTTGGAGCTGACGTGCCATAAAACCACATTTCATTTAAACACTGTGTTTAAATTTAAAGTCAATCGGATATTAACTTTAGCCTCTAGAGCGCCCACAAGATTTTTCAAAGTGATCAAGGGCCATAACTCTGGAAGTAATTATCGGAAATTGCTGAAAATCAATAGGCTTCTTTGTCTTATGACCTTAAACACTGTGTATAAATTTAATCGCTGAAAATCAAAAGGCTTCTTCGTCGCATGATCATAAACACTGTGTATAAATTTAAAGTCAATCGGATATTAACTTTACCAATTGTGGACGCCGGACCGACGGACGGATGGACGGGGGAGACGACAATATACGTCCAAATTTCAATGTGGGCGTATAAAAACGTATAAAAATACTTGTATATATCAAGCTTTAAAGATCAATAATAAATTTATTTGACTGGCTCCGCTCGAGGTTTTTCGTTTTTCCCTGAATGATAAGGTTTTTTCACATAATATATATATATATATAATTAATTAAAATTACGCTACCCATAATATAACGTAAAGCGGAAATAAGGATGTTTCAAACTGTTTTAATGTAGAATGTAACAATTTGCACTTTTTAGTTCACTTTGGGTATTTTCTCAAAGATTTTTTTAACCCATGCCAACTCTAAACAGTTATATTAGCACATATTTAACTTTTTTGGATGAAACGTTGATATACCCAGATTTATACGTTGATATTTTTCACGACCCCTTGTTTCTAAAGCCTAGGGTAAAATATACACGTAAGTATCGATATTTTCCTTTTGGTATTCTACGTCAACCCAGCCCTAACACGGTGCTGTATCTATTGTATTTAAGGCCGAAACTGGTGAGTGACCAATACGGGCTTTGGGCTGGCCTAGTGGTCTAGAGTGTCGCGTTTCTAACTCTAGCAGGCCGGTCACCCCTGGCTTGCGGTCGTCGATAGTTTCATTTTGGCATTCTACGTCAACCCAGCCCTAAAACGGTGCTGTATCTATTGCATTTAAGGCCGAAACTGGTGAGTGACCAATACGGACTTTGAGCTGGCCTAGTGGTCTAGAGTGTCGCGCTTCTAACAATAGCTGACCGGTCACCCCTGCCTTGCGGTCGTCGTTTCGATCCCTGGTGTAAGCGTATGTGGCTTTGAGATAGGGGCACCCTCTGAACCTAGTAGGTTTACTCCGGGTACTCCGATTTTCTCCAACAGGAATTCACCTTGCATGTGGAAGCGGACGTTAAACACTAATAGAAGACGAAGAGCGACAAATTTAAGCTGAATTTAATGCTTCCTGCCCCCTTCAGACGCTCAATATAACCTTATACATGGTTTACTAACAGAGGGAGTGCACCTTCAAATACTCCCCCTTGCAGCTTGATTGGATCCATGCTTTTCCGGTCTATGGCATTGGTGCCAGAGGGACGAATACCAAGTTGATTACATAAATATAAAGAAAATTACTTAACGGATCTGCTGTTTGTTTTTTTCCAGTATTTCAGGAGACGGATAAGATCTTTGACTTTAGCGTTTTCAGGTCTAAAAATCGCTTTTTGCTTTTTACAGAAACTGAGAGAATAGTTCGATCTGACTTTCTCGGGCTTAGACTTCATTTCTTCATAAACTTGTCGAATTGTTCGTTCTAAAAAAATAATACATATTTTAAATGAAATGAAATGAAATGGAGTTTAACGTCCTACTGTTCTGCTCCTAACCTCGGCTAATGAAGACGGGCATACGCCATACAGTGTGCTATGAGGGAAATTTTGCCCGGACAGCGGCACTACGGCCTACTCTTATATCGAATTCCAACTGCCAAGGGATCTTTTACGTGCACGCCAATGTGTACACGGGACCTCGGTTTTTCGTCCCATCCGAACGACTAGACAGCCCCTCCGTCCTATATTTTAAAGGTGTTACAGGAGCCAATCATAATAAGGGCCTAGGTGGCGTTGAGATGGTGCTATTTGACGCAATCAGTTTATTCATCCTTATCCTGTTAAAAAGAATTATGTGTATTCTGATTACGGTAAAAAGAGTGCTTAAAATACACACCCCCAACAGTTTTAATCCCGAAGACGTCAATAGCAGGAAGTAAATCCATCTCCAGTTTTACAGTCTTTCCACTGTAAGTTACCTCACAGTTGTAAGTTAGACCATACATGCTTCTCTTCTTAATTGTCATCCTAATATTATCCATTCGTCGGTCTAACCATTTCTCGATATCAGCCAATATTCTTTGTCTTTTCTCAATGAACGCCTCCATGCTGTCGTAACCATTCAAAAACAGTACCAGATCTGCATCGCAACTTTGTTGAATGGCGGTGCCTTTACCAAGAGAACCAGTCTAATAAAACGTATAAAGCCAAATAAATGATATGCATATATAGTACACTAGCAGAATACCCGGCTTTGCCCGAGGCCCAATTCGCCAGAGGTTCTAAATTCGCCCGGGGTCTAATTCGCCAGGAGCCCCAAATTGTCAGGGACCTAAATTCGATGGCCTAAACCATTTACGGGGTCATGGTGATTAATTTGATACCACATTAATGTGGAGACGAAGCGTGATTCGCCCGGGTCTCGGACCCGATTTGTCCGGGGCCCAAATGCAATGGCCTAAAACATTCACAGGGTTAATTTGATGCCACATATGTATGGCGGGGTATCAGGTTCAAAATGCGATCTGCAGTAGAAAGTAGAAAATAAAAAGCATGATGGGCAAACATACACACATAATACTCTTTGATTTTATTTAAATTGTCGATGTATGTATGTGAACTCTGTATGCCCACACCATGAACCGCTCTTTGGAAAATTATGATAGTTTTGATTATTGAAGGTAAAAAAATATCCCGGCGTAAAATTTAGGATCGGATGACCATGACCTTGATTTTCAATTTTTATCCTATGATACAGTGGGCTAATAATAACAATAACCATTTAAAGCAATATTAGAAATCGTATTAAAACACAGTTTATTCGAAATTACAGTCAATTTACAATATTGTATTTCATTTCACTTCAATATATGAGCATTTTTAACAGAAATGCACAACATAAAATACCCCACCCCTCATCCGCCCCACCCTAGGAAATTCTTGTGCTTAGATTTTAAGTAGACTTTGCATTTAAGTAAACTTATCTGATTCTTATTTTGTGTTCCCAGATAATTCTTAAGAATGTTCTTGTGCTTATATTTTAAGTAGACTTCAGGTTAAGCACAAACACGTTATTATGTGTTCCAAGAAAAAACTTAAAAATACATTATGGGAGATTTTAATAGAGAGTTGGCCATTCTTGCTATAACAGTTCAAAAATAGATGGTGAAAGAAGAATATATTGACAATTTCAGTCAAATTACTTTATTCTGAACAAAGTTAACACTATTGTAATTTTTGACTAGAAATGGGAGTCAACTCTCTCTTGACCGTCTCCGAGAATAGACGAACGTTTGATTGACAGGCGTTAACTCCACCTACATAATCTCGATTATCAAGTAACGTTTTCAATGGCTGTGGTTTGAGACGGGGTTGCAATTCAATTCGTATCACATTTATTTTTACTACAAATTAAGAATAAGACTTTTAATATATAGATAAGAAGCGAAAGTTGAAAAGGAATGGACCAAATCAATGAGGCATAATTATAGCCTACTTCTTGTTAGCCTGCGTGTAGTCTTGTACTGTAACTGGTAGGCCTGCGTAACTCCCGAACAGTGATCCAATGGAGCTGCAATGTTTATCAATTTCTATAATGTTTCTATAAACGCAAGTGACAAAAGAGCGTAGCCTATAATATCGACATCCAAACTCTCATTTTAACCACAACTAAACATAATATCAAGGCCGTATACATGTATATCGAACTTTCAATCAAATTGACTGACATGCGGCCTCGCTCAACAGGGGCCTCGCTTCGTACAATCTATCATTTAGCCTCGATCTAAAATTATTTCCGGGAGTATGACGTCAACGTAACGGTTAATCTCCGCTTACGACGCGATTTCAAAATTTAATCAATCAACGAAATCCTGTTTAAATCCAAGCCGAATCCAAGCCATCCGTGGGTCTACAGAGTTGATTTTGTGCTTGTTGTGTAAATAAAGATATAATTTATAATTTCTATGACATCTGAAGCCTAAATAAAGACTTGCAATAATCAGATTTAGCTCTTGCATAATGTATGTTTAAGCACACCTTTGTTCTTAAACATTGTCAATCTAAGCACAAGCCCCAAGCCAGGTATACGGCTTGCTTAGCAACCTTAAGTTTGTTTCTGCTTCAAACAAGATGGCTGACCGTAGAGTTATTCGACGGCATTTCCTACATCTTTTGATATCAAAGAGACATTAGTAAACAACACAAACACACGGGCTACTTTAAGATCAGGCGCTCTAACAATTATTCATGGGCTTTCGTTTTGGGGTTTTTTTTTTTAGCTTGTGGCACATTTTATATGGGTATAGGGGACATGTCAAATGCATCTAAATCGACCATTTGCCGGGAAGCAGTCGACCCATAGAAATATAGACATTTCTATGAGTCGACCGATTTATGACGTAATTCGCATACCAAAATTGATTTTATGACGTTACAGAGCTTCGTAGTCTCAGTTTACCAGTCACAATGTGCTTAGACGCATGCTTGACTTGTGCTTATGTAAGAATTGTCTTGATTATTTTCTAGAGACGATATTTTATAAAGTTTCTTACGTAAGAAAAAAAGTGAAGCATGACTTTGCGCTTACTTTAAGAATTTTCCAGGAACCAGGCCATGGTTTTTCATAATATATTGACCTTTCAACCCTGTATGTACTTCTCTGAAGTCACGACTGTCTGTGTTGTAATTAAACATGTAATTAATTCAATATGTCCTTTACAAGCTACACATGATCTGTGTACAACACTCGGCATTACTTCAACGGGAATGCAGTGGTCAGTGCATCATATTATGACCTGATAATGACTTCAATGGAAATAGGCAGTGCAATTGGGGTATATAACCAAGAGTTTGCTGACAGTTAGACAGACGACCACAGACGAGCGGGATGAGAAGAGAGGCTTGGACGAATGCATGGACTCACCCGAGTTCAGCCGCTGCCTTGGCAGAGGGGCGGAATGGTGGATTTAATATAGTTATGTACCGTCCTGATGTGTTCCTGTCGTAGTCTACTTCCTGTATAGTTTAAGTTCCTGTATTGTTGTTGTATTTATGTAGATGCGTTATCTTCTGTTCCGATGTAAATAAACCTTATATGTACGAAACTGATCTACTGTTATCACTAATAGTGTTACAGTATCAGTTATAGGGGTGCCATACTGCACGCCGCGATGCATCTACTTCGTACCTCGAGAATACATCACTGCCCTGAATGCCGTCTATTTAAAACGCTTATGTGATCATCCTTGGGTTATAAGGAATAGGTATGCAAAGTTTCAAAAGGATCTGTTAAGAATTGCGGCCTATAGGCGAAACACAAGACACACAAACATTGGGCGTGACTCTGTCCCAGGGGGTCCGTCATGCACCAAAAATAATGGAGGTCAGCCTTGGGGTATAAGGAATAAATATAAAAATGTTTTCAAGACGATTAATTAAGAATTCCGGGCTGTAAGTGACACACAGACACACAAAAATAAAAATGGACGTGGCTCTACCCCTGGGGGTTGGGCAGTCACCACAAACAATAGGGATGTTCCTTATGATAGAAAAAAACAATAGAGATCATCCTATTCATATAAAAAAAATTCTAGACGATCGATTAAGAATTGTGGCCTGTAGGTGACACACAGTCAGTCAAAAAGAAAATAGATGTGGCTCTGCCGCTAGGGGTTGGGCCATGCACCTTAAAAGATAGGGATGTTCCTTAGGGTACAAAGAATAAGTATTCAAAGTTTCAAGATGGTACGTTAAGAAATGCGGCCTGTAGACGACAAACAAATACAAGATATGGGTGGGATTCGGCCCCTAGGGGTCGGGCATTCATCAAAAATTATAGGGATCATCCTTAGGGTATACGATATAAGTATGTTAAGTTTCAAGACGATCACCCACACACCCACAGAGGGGCGACGCAATATACGTTGATATTATGAATGTGGACGTATAAATGTGGAGAAGCGAGGCTAAGCGTCCAATAACCACTAACAAGCACCTCGATTAAGATAATAAACAATCAATGCACATATCTTGTCAAAACTAATAGTGATAAGCATAGGCGTACGGGCTCGATGATCCGTAAATGCCCCATCAAAAAACCAGGTGTCCGGAAGAGTAAGCTTACTCTACTCATGTCTAAATAATTTATTATTTACCTGCACTATCTCTTGTACATCATACCCTAGTAGTTGGTGTAGTGTTCTGACAATTATATCAACAGCCCCGTGCAAATCAGCTAAAAACCCACTAGGGGGTCTAACAACATCATCAATAAACTTCTCCAAACTTCCTCCATTATATCCGGGTAAACTCATTTTTAAATCTAACAAAAGCAAAATACATCAAGAAATAAAATAGCTAACATAATCACCTTACGGCAATCATGATGTCTTTTATACATCTGACCCTGATGCCTACTTTACAATCGCTTTCATCATCGGTAATTCATCATCAGTAAAAATCGATCGGTATCGGTCGATACTCGGCCATTTTGTCGATAATGGAGTTGCCGATATCTGTTCAAACGGTAAATATCTTTAAAATATCTTCGAGTTGTAAACAAATCATTATTTTGCTTGTTTCACTAATTTAAATAATGCATGTAAATTTAATACAGATCGTCTGATAAATTAAATCCTTAGAGCGTTCACAAAGAGAAACAAGGTCCATACTCGGAAAGTGCCAGAGAAGGAAATTGCTGAAATTCAAAAGGCTTCTTCGTTTTACTAGTTTAAATAACACATATAAATTTAACACAAATAGGATGATATCTTTAGTCGTTAAAGTGTTCACAAGGTTAAATAAAGTGAAACAAGTACCAACTCGAGACGTAATTAACGGAAATTGTTGAAATTCAATAGGATTATAGCTTCTTCGTCTCTCTAATGATAATTTCAAACTGATCAAATAATAAATGGAGTCTTCAACTTATTTACAATGTTATCGTCATATCAACTGTGATTTGGCAACGCATTAATATTGACAGGGGTCGTGACTACATTTCATACTTTTTTCCATCACCTAATGAAGATATTTCTAAGATGGTGACCTTTTTGTCGGGAAAATTGGACGATGTGCTGATTTTGATTAAGTACTTGTGTTTGGTGTCAATATATATCATTTCAGGTGCACAGATTCCATTTCTGCCAGTTACAACTGTTTAAATTGGACGATGTGCATACTTTGATTAAGTGGTAGAGTTTTGTGTCAATATATTTGTTTTTGGGGCGCAGATTCCATTTCTGTCGTTTATAAGATCACATATTTAGCATATTTCTGATATGGCTGCCATTTGTGGCGGGAAAATGGGACGATGTGCTGATTTTGAATAAGTAGTCGTGTTTTGAAATGATGGTTTGTTCGCTCATTCAGCATATTTCTAAGATAGCCGCCGTTTGTGACAGGGCGTTTTGTAAACTCATTACTGCAACGGTTTCTGAATCCAATTCTCCTATGTATAAGCTTGTAGCGTGTTCCTGGAAGCCAGTACCGTGTTTTACCCATTAGGTATATTATCCAATGATGAAAAGTCCTCATTCGAGTTGACCACTGAGTTGACCAAGAAAATAGGGCATTTACTTGATCAGCCACATGCACACCACGTTGCCGCCAGGCTGGAACGAAACACCTAACCACATGCTTGCTACCTTTTTTTATATATAGGAAAGGGACTGGGCCTCGTCCACCATCTCTAGTTAGCATCCAAAGAGGAAACATCAAGAAACTAAAAATTGATCTTGATTGCATGACGTTTGGTTGTTCTGTGCTTTGAAAGTGAATAATGACGAGGTGAGTCTGGCACATTCTCTATAGGCTTGGCGAAAAAGCGGCTTCCACCGGATAAGTTCGTCACCGGAGTGTGGTGAGAACAAATCCTGGTCTGATTGTTAACAGCGAGTTCTGGACGTAGTAAGTGCTTGGTGCGGTCTTGGCAGGAGCGTGATGGGCGCGAGTCAATTTCTTGCCACGCTTATTGTTGAAAGCCACACGATACCGTTACGCTATCTCTGCCTGCATGGCAGAAGACCGAGTGAATAGACTTTTCTTTCAGAGAACGATCAGTAAGTCTCATCGATGGATACGACATAGTACCGGCTTTCGGGATTGTGCTACAAGCTAAATAGCCTACGTAGCAGAATTGGGCTCAGAAACCTGTAAATAACAACGACAAGTAAATATATGACCATAATGTGTTTAGAAAACGTTCCGCCGTGCTAAATTGGCCATCTTTGAAATATGCTAAGTATTTGAAGATGTGATCAATTTACAAGGTTGTACATGTCAGAATTGGAATCTACGGCCCCGAAAACATGTTTATTGACACAAAACACTACTAAGGCTGTCATGTTGGAAATATGCTAATTATGTGAACATGTGTTCAATTTACAATGTTGTAAATGTCAGAAATTGAATTTTCGACCCCGAAAACATATATTATATTGATACCAAACACTATACTACTTAAAGGAGCTAAATCACTAACATTTGGGACCTAGAAATTGACAAAAGTGGGTCGCAACGCATATAATACTGTAATATGAATGTATATAAACTGATTTACATTCAATCGTTTCCGTTTTTACTAGAATTTCAAATCAGTTATCTTCGGCGAAATAAGCCAGCAGTCTCAAGCGAGCGCAAATTTCTAGCGTCTGGTTATTCCAGTCTACATACGCCTTTTGATTTGGTGCAATGTGTCTAGCCTTGTCCCTTGAGTCTCTTGATGCAACTGGGGCTGAAGCGCATTATGGTACACGATTCGTGTACCAATGGTAAAATGTTTATTTTGTCTTAAATATTGGATATCAAAAGCCCATATTTTCCCGGTAAGATCACAACATGAATGTTGATTTAATTTGACAAATAAATCGTGTTTTCAATGTTGAAAATTTTGGATGATATTGAGTTAAACATCTTCATTAAAAAAATAAAATTGAACCTATATGTTAGTCCCGAAATAACTGTGTGTCAAGTGGACGTTAAACCCATTTTTTTCCTATCTCTCTGTTAAACATGATATATTATGGCAATTATAGAGTAATCCAGATCTTTGGGATATAACATATATATTAAGTTTCATCAAGATGGGATCTGGGGCCATAACCCAGGAATTTACGAAATGAGCGAATTTCGAATGGAACCAACATCTTGTGGCTATAAACATATGTTTAAGTTTTATCAAAGCTAGGTTGCCAGGCAACGAAACATACGCCCACAGCAGCTAAATTGTCCGGCCAGTCAACAAGAGTTGTCGCATTTTTACTTTTACTTTTTTCGGCAATGAAACATTTATAATACACTTAAATCTGATTAAGAGTAACAACTCATGAAGTAATTATCAGAAAATCATTAGAATGTGTTTGGTTTTTATTAAGTTCTGCCCCATGCTAACGTTTAGTATACGAAACTTTTAATATCATGGATTTAGCTGTTCAAGTCATAAAAATTAATTGAAATTCAATATACTTGTTTGTCTCAAGATCTTAAACTCTGTGTATCAATTTGAAGTCAATCGGATGTTAACTTTAGCCTCTAGACTGTCAAAAGATTTTTCAAAGTGATCAAGGGTCATAACTTTGGCAGTAATTATTGAAAATCTCTGAAAATCAACAGGATTCTACGTCTCATGACCTCAAACACTGTGGGATATTCACTTTAGCCTCTAGAGCATTCACAAGATTTTTTGAAGTGATCAAGGTCCATAACTCTGGCAGTAATTATCGAAAATCGCTGAAAATGAAAAGACTTCTTCGTCTCATGACCTTAAAAACACTGTGTATAAATTTGAAGTCAATCAGATATTAACTTTAGCCTCTAGGGCGTCCACAAGATTTTTCAAAGTGATCAAGGGTCATAACTTTGGCAGTAATTATCGGAAATCACTGAAAATCAACAGGCGTCTGCATCACACGACCTTTAACACTGTATATAAATTTAAAGTCAATCGGATATTAACTTTAGCCTCTAGAGCGTCAACAAGATTTTTTTAAGTGATTAAGGGTCATAACTCTGGCAGTAATTATCGAGATTCGCTGGAAATCAATAGGCTTCTTCGTCGCATGGCCTTAAACACTGTATATAAATTAAAAGTCAACCGGATATTAACACTAGCCTCGAGAGCGTCCACAAGCAATTGTGGACGTCGGATTGACGGACGGACCGATGGACGGACGGACGGACGGGGGCGACGACAATATACGACCTCTAGAGTGTCCACAACCTGGCGTACGAGAAACAGCCATTTTGTCTGGAAGATGTAAGGCAATTGACTTAAAACTTTCAAAATATTCTGGGGGGAGAAAAACTTGATGATACAGCGCGCACGTGCTAACCATTCAGCCCCCCCCCCCCCCCCCGTACAAAATGGATGTTAGTTGAAAGTCTTTAATACGTAGCTTAAACTGTCAGATTTTCTAAATTAATACAGTGGACTCTGTCACATCCGATCTCCGATCACTCCGGATTGCTGTGACATCCGGTATGATTTTCATGTCCCGATTTATTGCCTTATTACTTCAGCCAAAAAATCGCTGGTAAATCCGAATTCTGTATGTTTTGGATTCCGAAATCAATCAGCCGTCCCGTCACATAATTTCCATTGAATCGACACAGTATAATCCGTACTTCAAACGGTGGGTGTGTGAAGCATCCAATTATCGGTGAGATTAAAACTCAATGGGTGTGAAACCAGAAAAGATTAACAAGACCCGCGAGACGTGATCAATTTAACAACAATGATTCAAGCGAGAACGATTCGTCCAGCAGTAGCGATGCCTCTGAAGCGGAAGGTCAACTGCACGATGTAACGTATTGGTTAGTACTAGTACCATTCTACTTTTTTATTATCACTATCACTATTATATTAGGCTCTTAGAATCTATATTAATAATTTATCATATTCATTTGAAATACATACACCCAAATAAACATGCTTCGTCGATGTATCGTCCAGACGATAGTCGAACGATTGGCAAACAATTTGAAGGCCTAGGCTATATATATATAGGAGAGCTACCGCCAATACCAGTAGTGCCTATCGGTCGTTTTTTTTAAAGGTGTTATGCCCAAGGCCAAGGGCCTATTTAATGTAGGATCTGTATGATTCAAATTAGTACCGTTGTCAGAATATAATTTAGCTTTACAAAATGATCTATTGATTACATGTACATTGTAATCAAGGAACAATGTTAATAGTGCTGATCACGTAGATTACAACATCTAATGATCTATATAATATAGAAAAGCCCAGGGCCTACTACAGTACTAATTACTAAAAATATTTTTTTTAAACTTTTGTCCAGGTGCAGTTGTGGACATTGCCTAAAAATGCAAGTTCCACGTGACAGGAAGTGTTGTAAAGATTGTCTGCAGTGTGTCGAGAAAATGGGGCAACGTAGTTGCCTCTGTCAACATGAAGGTTTTCTTGCAAACTGTTTAAATCCCCATGTACTAGAGGTCTCTTTTTATGAGTACATTGAACAGCAAGGGCCAGTTGGTGATGATGAACCTATACATGAGTATGTTTTGGTTGTTTTTTTTAAACATATTCATATTCAGTCATTTCAGGTTTTGGCCATTTGGGGTCAATTTCTCCATTTAGACTCTAAATGAGTCAATTTAACTATTGCTACATCTTATTATCCCAGTAGGATTGCAATACACAAATATTCAGTAAATACACTGCCACACACATGGGAGTACTTTATTACTAGCATAAAAATATCTTGCTTAAAGTAGCTATGTCTCTAACTCAATATCATCCAAAATCTTCAAAATTGAAAACACAAATTATTTGTCAATTTAAATCAACATTGATGCTGTGATCTTACCAGAAAAAGATAGGCTTCTGATATCCAATATTTAAGACAAATGCGTTTCAGCCCCAGTTCTAGCAAGAGACTCGAGGAACGAGGCTAGACATATTGCACCAAACCAAACGGCGTATGTAAACTGGAATAACCAGGCGCTAGAAATTTGCATTCGATTGAGACTGCTGGCTTATTCCGCGGAACATAACTGATTTGAAATTAGAGTAAAAACGGAAACCATTGAATGTATATCAGTTTATATACATTCATATTACAGTATTATACGAGTTGCGACCCACTTGTGTCAATTTCTAGGTCCCAAATGTTAGCGATTTAGCTCCTTTAAACATTTCAATAATTTAACAACATACACAATTGATTATTGAACTGCTCACATACAATGCTTTTAGTTAATGGTACCCAATTTATTTATTTCAGGGTCTATAGATATATAGCCTACAGAAGGTTTACAAGATGGATATGGCATATCCTTGGTAAAAAGAACAGAAAGGTCATTCCATCCTGTGTTGTAAATAAAATTCGTGAAACTTTTCCTTCCAGTTCTGAAACTTACACAGGATTTAAGTATCCTGATGACTATTAAAAATAAGAAAAAAAAACTTTCAAAGTATTTTCTTTGATTTTTTATTAAATGGAAGATTTCAAAAGTAATGAGTAATGAAAATGTAATTAATTTCATTCCAAAAATCATGTAATGGTTAATTACTTTTCAATTACATTTTATAGCACATATAAATATTTCCAATATAAAAAGCCTCAAATTTAATAGCACTAAAGAAGTAAATTAAGTGTATCTGACACAAATCCAATTCATTATAATTTATAAAATAAAGATTTAAATCAGTTTTAACAAATTATAATAAAACTAAGAAGGCATTATTATTACTTTTTTTTTACGACCCTTTTTTTTAGACATGTCACCTAAAAAGTGGATTTCTGAAAAGATGTATATTGTAATCAATGATTAGTGCTAATTTGCAGGCAATCAATCAATCAGTTAGATTAAAAGACAATTTAGTACTACTTGATAATTTATGTGAAATTGTATTAGACGAACATAAGTGCACCAGAAGACATGAGCTATCGTTGATAAATACATAATGTTTTATTTGTATTCTCCATTGCCAGTACATTAGCTATGGTATGAGTTTAATGGTATTAAATTGTTTAGGAAATATTGTGAGAATAACAGGAAAAGGGGTCCAAAGCCAAGGATAGATTCTGTGTCTAAATACACGTGATCGGAATGTTACCATTTCATATTTGGCATGAGTGACCAATCACATCATAATTACATCATAATTAGCCAATATAACAATTGATGGCTGTGAATCTGAATAAGAAGCGATTTCTTCTTTAAAAAATGTCACCAAAATATTCAAATCTATGTGTAATAAAAATGGGAACACCTATATTTCATATTTAATTGTGGTATTCAAATTTATGTCAGTGATATTTCTATAAAATTACGTGTTTTCGTAATATGATAGAATGAAAGCTTGCCGATCCGTATCGACTTGTAAAAAGACATAGCTTCCTGCAGCGTATGGCGTACGTGACTCACTGCACATAGCTTTATCGTAAGAGAGAGAGATGTTAATCTAAGATGTTAAACACACATCTTCCTACACAAAATTTGACTTTGCCCCCCCCCACCCAAAAAAAAACAAACCCTACCTGATAAAGCTTTGTCAGCTGATGTAATGGTATTGATGATATACGTCTACCCTGCGTCTTATTGCGCAACGAATTATTTTCTGTGTACGTCAGTCCATGATATTCCGAGAATTAGTTTTACTTTCACTTTGATGTCGACCTAAGCTGACGCTTGTATTTTTATTTATAATTCTGAAGCTGCATTGGATTTTATTTTCGTCATATTTTTAAACATTAAAATATATAAAATATTTTAAAAGCTATGTCATTCAGGACTAATATTATTTCAATAATTCGCCTGTGGGTAGGAATTTACCATACAAACTTTCTAAATTAATATGCATATCTAGAAATGAGTATAAGCTTATTTCAACTTCAATGTAAGATGATACAAATTTGAGTTGTTATAAATTAGTATGATTAAAGGCTGGTATGTTTATTGCGACTGTAATGTAACATGTAACAAATTGCACTTTTAGTCGACCATGAAGTGGGCCCTTTCTCCTAAAAATGGTTAGAAAAAACACCAAACGCATCCCAGGGGCGTGGTGACCCATGATTTTGCATGAGGAACAAGATCCCGTCCGCCACCGCCCCGCCCCCAACAATATATGTGAGTGGGGGGGGTGACCGGGGGGAGGAGGCCGGAGATCCCAGTGCCGCCGGGTAATATTAAGCTGTGTGGAACATATTAGAGTCGATTTGAAGCATATCTGCCCAACTCCATTATCATTATGATTATAATGTTGAAAACCGCATTGTAACTGTTTGCCATTTGCGAGGGGCACAAAAACCCAAGGGGGCGCAAAAACTCAAAACCATGATGCAAACCTCGTCATTGCGTCCCTCTCACTTAGCCCCTGACACACCCTAAAATACACTCTACCTTGTACAATTTATCAAGTTCTATATAGATCAATCAAACGAAGAACTGATACTGAGGCTACGTCTACTCCACGTCTTATTGTTCCACGAATCTTTACCTTTCTATTGTGTAACATATAATAGGTTTAAAGCTAGGTTTGAGGGTTCACAAGGTTCTAAAAACTAAAACAAGGGCCGTAACTCTGGAAGTAATCTACAGAAATTGTTGAAATTCGACAGGCTTTTTCATTTTACTAATTCAAATAATGCATATAAATTTCATACAGATCGGATGATAACTTTTGTCCTTCGAACGTTCACAAGGTTCAAAAAAGTAAAACAAGGGCCATAACTCTAGAATTAATTGACGAAAATTGCTGACATTCAATAGGCTTCTTCATTTCACTAATTTAAATGATGCATATGAATTTCATACAGATTAAGTGATAACTTTTGTCGTTCAAGCGTTCACAAGATTCAACAAAGTGAAACAATGGCCATACCTCTAGATGTAATTAACAGAAATTGCTGAAATTCAATAGGCTTCTTCGTTTTACTAATTTAAATGATGCATATAAATTTCATACAGATCGGATAATAACTTTTGTCGTTAGGACATTCACAAGGTACAACAAAGTGAAACAAGGGCCATAACTCACGGCGTAATTAATGGAAATTGCTGAAATTCAATAGGCTTCTTCGTTTCACTAATTTAAATAGCAAGAGACTCGAGGAACGAGGCTAGACATATTGCACCAAACCAAACGGCGTATGTAAACTGGAATAACCAGGCGCTAGAAATTTGCATTCGATTGAGACTGCTGGCTTATTCCGCGGAATAAAAACGGAAACCATTGAATGTATATCAGTTTATATACATTCATATTACAGTATTATACGAGTTGCGACCCACTTGTGTCAATTTCTAGGTCCCAAATGTTAGCGATTTAGCTCCTTTAAACATTTCAATAATTTAACAACATACACAATTGATTATTGAACTGCTCACATACAATGCTTTTAGTTAATGGTACCCAATTTATTTATTTCAGGGTCTATAGATATATAGCCTACAGAAGGTTTACAAGATGGATATGGCATATCCTTGGTAAAAAGAACAGAAAGGTCATTCCATCCTGTGTTGTAAATAAAATTCGTGAAACTTTTCCTTCCAGTTCTGAAACTTACACAGGATTTAAGTATCCTGATGACTATTAAAAATAAGAAAAAAAAACTTTCAAAGTATTTTCTTTGATTTTTTATTAAATGGAAGATTTCAAAAGTAATGAGTAATGAAAATGTAATTAATTTCATTCCAAAAATCATGTAATGGTTAATTACTTTTCAATTACATTTTATAGCACATATAAATATTTCCAATATAAAAAGCCTCAAATTTAATAGCACTAAAGAAGTAAATTAAGTGTATCTGACACAAATCCAATTCATTATAATTTATAAAATAAAGATTTAAATCAGTTTTAACAAATTATAATAAAACTAAGAAGGCATTATTATTACTTTTTTTTTTACGACCCTTTTTTTTAGACATGTCACCTAAAAAGTGGATTTCTGAAAAGATGTATATTGTAATCAATGATTAGTGCTAATTTGCAGGCAATCAATCAATCAGTTAGATTAAAAGACAATTTAGTACTACTTGATAATTTATGTGAAATTGTATTAGACGAACATAAGTGCACCAGAAGACATGAGCTATCGTTGATAAATACATAATGTTTTATTTGTATTCTCCATTGCCAGTACATTAGCTATGGTATGAGTTTAATGGTATTAAATTGTTTAGGAAATATTGTGAGAATAACAGGAAAAGGGGTCCAAAGCCAAGGATAGATTCTGTGTCTAAATACACGTGATCGGAATGTTACCATTTCATATTTGGCATGAGTGACCAATCACATCATAATTACATCATAATTAGCCAATATAACAATTGATGGCTGTGAATCTGAATAAGAAGCGATTTCTTCTTTAAAAAATGTCACCAAAATATTCAAATCTATGTGTAATAAAAATGGGAACACCTAAATTTCATATTTAATTGTGGTATTCAAATTTATGTCAGTGATATTTCTATAAAATTACGTGTTTTCGTAATATGATAGAATGAAAGCTTGCCGATCCGTATCGACTTGTAAAAAGACATAGCTTCCTGCAGCGTATGGCGTACGTGACTCACTGCACATAGCTTTATCGTAAGAGAGAGAGAGAGAGATGTTAATCTAAGATGTTAAACACACATCTTCCTACACAAAATTTGACTTTGCCCCCCCACCCAAAAAAAAAAAACCCTACCTGATAAAGCTTTGTCAGCTGATGTAATGGTATTGATGATATACGTCTACCCTGCGTCTTATTGCGCAACGAATTATTTTCTGTGTACGTCAGTCCATGATATTCCGAGAATTAGTTTTACTTTCACTTTGATGTCGACCTAAGCTGACGCTTGTATTTTTATTTATAATTCTGAAGCTGCATTGGATTTTATTTTCGTCATATTTTTAAACATTAAAATATATAAAATATTTTAAAAGCGATGTCATTCAGGACTAATATTATTTCAATAATTCGCCTGTGGGTAGGAATTTACCATACAAACTTTCTAAATTAATATGCATATCTAGAAATGAGTATAAGCTTATTTCAACTTCAATGTAAGATGATACAAATTTGAGTTGTTATAAATTAGTATGATTAAAGGCTGGTATGTTTATTGCGACTGTAATGTAACATGTAACAAATTGCACTTTTAGTCGACCATGAAGTGGGCCCTTTCTCCTAAAAATGGTTAGAAAAAACACCAAACGCATCCCAGGGGCGTGGTGACCCATGATTTTGCATGAGGAACAAGATCCCGTCCGCCACCGCCCCACCCCCAACAATATATGTGAGTGGGGGGGGTGACCGGGGGGAGGAGGCCGGAGATCCCAGTGCCGCCGGGTAATATTAAGCTGTGTGGAACATATTAGAGTCGATTTGAAGCATATCTGCCCAACTCCATTATCATTATGATTATAATGTTGAAAACCGCATTGTAACTGTTTGCCATTTGCGAGGGGCACAAAAACCCAAGGGGGCGCAAAAACTCAAAACCATGATGCAAACCTCGTCATTGCGTCCCTCTCACTTAGCCCCTGACACACCCTAAAATACACTCTACCTTGTACAATTTATCAAGTTCTATATAGATCAATCAAACGAAGAACTGATACTGAGGCTACGTCTACTCCACGTCTTATTGTTCCACGAATCTTTACCTTTCTATTGTGTAACATATAATAGGTTTAAAGCTAGGTTTGAGGGTTCACAAGGTTCTAAAAACTAAAACAAGGGCCGTAACTCTGGAAGTAATCTACAGAAATTGTTGAAATTCGACAGGCTTTTTCATTTTACTAATTCAAATAATGCATATAAATTTCATACAGATCGGATGATAACTTTTGTCCTTCGAACGTTCACAAGGTTCAAAAAAGTAAAACAAGGGCCATAACTCTAGAATTAATTGACGAAAATTGCTGACATTCAATAGGCTTCTTCATTTCACTAATTTAAATGATGCATATGAATTTCATACAGATTAAGTGATAACTTTTGTCGTTCAAGCGTTCACAAGATTCAACAAAGTGATGTAATTAACAGAAATTGCTGAAATTCAATAGGCTTCTTCGTTTTACTAATTTAAATGATGCATATAAATTTCATACAGATCGGATAATAACTTTTGTCGTTAGGACATTCACAAGGTACAACAAAGTGAAACAAGGGCCATAACTCACGGCGTAATTAATGGAAATTGCTGAAATTCAATAGGCTTCTTCGTTTCACTAATTTAAATGATGCATATCAATTTCAAACAGATGGGGTGATAGCCGTTGTCATTAGAGCATTCACAACATTCAACAAAGTGAAACAAAGGCCATAACTCTAAATGAAATTAACGGAAATTGCTGAAATTCAACAAGCTTCTTTGTTTTACTCATTTAAATGATGCATATAAATTTCACGCAGATCGGTTGATAACTTTTGTCGTTAGAGCGTTCACAAGGTGCAACAAAGTTCACAAGGAGTGGGGTGGACTGTCCAACCTCGTGTCCTCCGGTTTTCTTCCACTGCTAAAAGACCCCTACGTGCAAGCGAATTATTGAAATAAAACATTGAACCGTATGTTAGTCCCGAAATGACCTAGTTTGTGTCGAATGGACGTTAAATCCCATTTCTCTCTCTCTCTCTCTTTCTCTCTCTCTCTCTCTCTCTGCAGCCATGTAACT